TCATTAAAAATGGGTGACTTAGGGTGTAAGATTTACGAGACTCTCCAAACCCAGGGTTAGAAGCACCGGCTGCCTTGTGAGCTCCAGAACCACCAACATTATTTGATCAGATTGTTTAAGCAGGGGTGGGCGCATTTCCACTTTGCATGTGGTTGAGAACAGGATTGCATCTCCACAGTGCTAAATAACTATCTTCTGGTCCCACACTCAACAGTCAACTTACTGACTGTTGGCTATGATTCAGTTGATTTTGCATTTGAAGATCAGAGTTGTAAGTAACTGAAATGTGACCAGAAAAAGCGTTTTCACATGGTTGCCAAATAATTAGCTTCATAGAAGACGTGTGTATGTTTATTTCAGAAATTGATACATATTTGGGCGTCACAGTGGTACAGTGGTTAGCTGGCGCACTGTGCTGGTTTCGATTCCTGGGGTGCTGTCTGTGTGGAGTTTGTATGTTCTCCCAATGCTCCTGTGGGTTTCCTCCAGGGGCTCTGGTTTCCTCCCACAGTCCGAAGACACAGTGGTATGATAACTGGCTTCTGGGAAAATTAGCCCTGGTGCGAGTGTGTGCCGATGTGTGCTCAGCAATGGACTGGTGTGCGTTGCTTGCTGCGGCTCTAGCTTCTCCGTGACACTGTGTTGGATGAAGCAATTAGCGAATGGATGGATGGGCACAGTTCTGTTTTGTATCCTGTACAATACAATCCTACAAAAGATAAAAACACAAACCTCAGTATCTGCACTTAATTTGACTTTTGCTTTCGAAAGCACAAACAACCTGACTGGCGCCGTGAAGCTTCTAGTAAAATAGAAAAGGCTCTGCCAAGAAAAAGGAAATGCATTTCAGTGCTCCCTATTCATGGTGATTCTGTTTCACCGGACACTGAAGACGCCATAACTAACCTCATTAGGATGAGCGCAGAGAACGAACGCATTCTCTTAAACTGCAGTATGAATGAATACTTTACCATTTTTACCATTAAAGAAAGTAATGGGGGGAAGCAGATAATTGCTTTCTTAATGTGAATGCAGTTTAGAATGAGCACCCCAATAATTTTGAAAAGCTGGCTCCAATACCCATGAGTTTAAACCCTGTGACATTTGGCTCACACCAAGTCCATTCAGACTTGAAATATTTCTCATTTCTCATTTCTAATGTTCCAGAAGACACCTCCTGACCAGTCTCTGTGTCCACTGCAGCTCAGCAACAGAAATGACAATTTCATCTTAGGCTCCATCTGAATCCCGTTAATATGCCCCCTGGCTTTTGTATTGAAGATAACATGTTAAGAAAAGTGCTTTGGTTTAGGGAGTACAAAGCCAAATTATAAAAAAGAGAGCACACCATGACAGCTCTCTTCGCGGAAGAGTGAATAGATATTTTAATACATTACGGCTCTCAAGGCTCCTTGCAAACAGTAAACATCCATTAGCATAATCCTAAAACATTGATGAAGTTTCCCAGGGGGCTTATTCCTGCAGGCTTCGGCAGGGCGTATCGGAACGAGCAGGAAATGCCTCCTGGGCCACCGCAGCTCAGCACTAATGGCAAAGGTCACCCTAAAAAAAGCCTGTGCTTGCGCATCAGGGGGAAAAAGAAAAGTCTTCCTCTTTCACAGGTAAGGGGATCCTCTTCATGTATTATTCAAGGAGCTCACCCTTTAAATAACCGTCTTTGAGGTCTGTATCGCTTATCGGATGAAAAATCAAGAGGTGACCTTTTGCTCATTAGAGAGGATGACCTGGCACTGCATCCCCATATCAAATAGAGAAGTGTTGTGGTGTGAGTGTATGTTTACATGTTCTTGTAGGGAAACACTTGCAGGAAGAGCACTTTCCTGCGTAATCCGAATAAAGCACATCTGGGCACAGCCATTCAGCAGATGCAGAGTTACCTTTTTTAATTGAGATTCCTTATTTTAACTCTTTTTCAAACAGGCGCTGCTACCCAGTTCATTTGTAAGATGCAAGTAATAAATCGATTTACAATATGCTGTTTACTGTCTTGCAACAAAACTGAACACTCATGCCTCCGAATAATACAGGAGCACGGTTCTGTGTAACAGTGTACTTATTTAAATGCTCCAAAATAATTTCACCACAACACAGACAGAAGTATTTATTTGCACGTGCAGTTCAAATAGTTTTCCATTTAAATAAGTGTGTGGGTATCATGTAGTTTTCTCCTGTTTCTCCATTTTAGTCCTGCAACACACATACTGTATGTATCATACAGAGCCCTGTGTGACTCTTTGTGTGCCATATAACTAATCAATCGGGTGCATTTTGTAACTACTCTAAGGTATTGTCTTTGGGTGTCTTTTTTCTATCTGAATGCCCCAAAAAGAGCATTTCATTTAATCTGATACTTGAGGAAAGTTTGGGATTTCTGGTTAGTCATCTCACTAGAGACAAGGCATCTGAGACATAGCTCCATGCTATTTATAGTGTAAAGAGAAATAATTCAGTGATGGGATGTGAAGATCATACAGTCTTTCCTTAGTAGAGCAGAAGAGCAGGAATCAAAAGAGAAGACCGTGTTCTTTTCTTTCCCTCGCTGACTAATGGAGGAAGGGAAGCGAGGTTATTTCTTTGAAGTTGGCGTGTTTATCATGATTCACTAAGGGCTTGCTCTCATCTGGTTATGAGCAAAAGTCCTTGTGACTGTGGCACAGACAATATCCTCCACACAGGATGATGTAGTGAAGCTTTGTCCTTCTCATTCGTTCAAGGATGAAAAAGATTGTTTTCCATCTGGATGTGTGTTCCATCTTGGCGGGGCTAATGCTTTTAAAGACTTTCTATAAGTATTGAAAAGGCCAAAACACTTTTGGTGAAGTCTCAAGGGTATTGTATCCAGCTGCACAAAGAAGAAAAAAAACATCTTCACCATGTTTACAGGCCTAAAAGAAGCCAAATGTCTTCAGTAACAAATGTTTCTTAAAAATGATCCAATTAATGATCCCTCCCTCCCACACCTTTTCATGAAGTGTGATTTCAGAAAATGCCAGAAAATTTAATTTCTTGTTTTAATAGTCTGAGTTCATTTCATTCTAATGAGTGGGTCAGACATTTGTAGTCCCTATGAACATCCCGTATCTTAAATTAATTAACTACCAATTTCTAGAATTAATAAGACAAATGAGAATGGTTCAACAAACAGGACAGAAGGAAAATGTAATAATATATCGACCTTTTTTCAGAGTGTCAGTGTGAAAGTGTATATCTAACGTTTTTCAATTTGGGGGTTTCCTTTTCAAAATACAATTTATAGAAGGATTTAATTTGTTTCCTATCCTGATAAATATTTTTAAGCAAAAACAACACCCACTAATTGATATTCATATTTGCACAGCTTCTCATACTTCAAGGTCAGTCCTTATTTCCAGTTTCCAACAAGCAGCATTCCCATCCAACACAAGATGCTCAGGATTTACATTTCACAGTCAAATTCCTGCTAATATCTGTGAACAAAACCTCTCAAATCTTTGCCTTCCAGTTCAAGATTTGATTCACTTTTGCCAATCAATAAACTTTTTGAAGGAGCACTTAAATGATGACAGAAGATAACTCATTTAATTTCCTTTGCCTGCTTATCTTTTTAAAGGCTTTATACTTCCCAAAACTTTCAAGAAAGAGGTGCTCTTGCTACTTTTTAGATTTATCCTTTCTTCATCGTGTATTGACTGTTGCTAAACTTGCAATGATCCGTACTTACTGTAGTTTGTACAGCACCTGAAAAAGCTCCAGATCATTGTTATTTAAGGTCTAAAACATTGTTGTAAGGCTTAGGAAATATAAAGATGTGTAATATCCAAGAATTTTGTATAAAAAGTAAAACATTTGAAGAGATAAGAGATTTTTGAACGATCATTTTTGTGTTTTTGTAAACTATGCAGTCATATAAATGTGCTGCCTGGCCTTGGTCAGTAGAATCAAAGGGCATGTATGAGGTAAGCTGGCTGTGTGCCCAGAACATATGAAAGGAACTAGCTTTTGTCAAGTCTGCAACTTAGATATGATTAATAACAATATTGGCATGTGGCATGTGTTGTTATTTCGTGGTATAAAAGACCATCTTTACTTATTTTTGAGTTCGGTGGTTGCAGGCCGTTCTTCCATATGCATATGAAATAAAGACGCCTGGACTTTGTCATTTGTATGACACAACACATTGGTGCAATCTTATATAAAAGGCTGCATTTTGCATTATTTGTTTCATTTTTAATTCATAATCTACTATACACTTGTATAATATACCAAATCCAATACATATACAGTACATACTGTATATAACATACAGAGGATATGATACAGATATGATGAAGTCTTAAAATACAACAAATGAGTATTGGAATCAACTGGAATCATTTGTCATGCCTAACCACAGACAGTGACCCTGAACTTGCACATTTATTTTTCCCTCTGTGTATGGATTGATGTGACTATGTGCATGATGAGAACTAATGATCAATGAGTGCCTGTAAGTCTTACCGCTACAACAGAGGACTCTTCAGATGGTTCCTAACTACCAAATCCAGGCTAATGAGAGATACAATCGCATGGTATTTCCAACATTATCCCATAATTACTAAGAGGAGAAGCTATCAGACAGAGGAGAAGAAATAAACTGCCATATAGCACAACTTTAAATGTAGCCATTAATTTCCTATATTCTCAGAGCATAAAGCTGAAGTTGCGCTGTTTGCAGTTCACTGTTGTAGGACCTTTTGTCTATGAATGAGACAGTTATCTCACTGCTGTCATGACCAATACAGAGGTATCACAGGTGGAGCTGATAAGGTGTCAATCATAATCAAATAGGCTGTGTAGAATCATGCACTATACTGTACGATTATCCATAAAAACATAAAATATCCATCATAGAAAGTTCTCCAAATCCTGCAGCTTGTGTAAACTGCTTAGCATCATGGTAATCCTCCAACATCCAAACTACATCTTTGAAGGCTGCCAAAAAATCTGACCAGTACACTTACTGGAGTAGACCACCAGGTGCAGAAACAGGGAAACCTCACATTCATGGACATGTGTATCCCAGATAGTCCCAGCACCAGCTTCTGTTAGAGTGTGGAAGAGGGTACAACGCTCTGTCAGTACAGTGCCATCTGACCCCACATCGCTCCAAACTTTACGCCACACTGGGAACCTCAAGAGAACACCAGGTGCAGAAACTGGGAAACCCAGCATGCATGGAGGCATGTTTCCCAAATAGCCCATGACACTCTGCAGACGAAGCAAAGAGCAGGACTAAATCAGTGGCTGAGGATAGGTGCGCTGGGGGAGGTCTCAGCTATCGTGGCTACAGGAAACATTTCCATAGCAAAACGTATTAACATGACACTGGGTTACGTAAGAACGAGATGGGCACCAGCTGGAAAAAGCCAAAGATCTCCAATAAATTTCCAAAACAATAAAACTAGAACAACTCAAACTAGAAACTGGAAAAAGAGGAGATTCCAGAGAAGGTCTGCAAGGGTTATAAACAGGGATCACAGCCTGAAAGAGACCCCCTTGGAAGGGCAAAAAAAGGAAGGGCATTGTACTTATGCATATGCTACTGTACATATTGGACCACCAAATGCAGATGTCCATTAACAATGTAGTCTTATATAATGACATTAGAAATGTCTGCATAAGGAAAGAAGTGGCTGTCATGAAAGATTTTAATTGTCCTCAAATAGCTTGACAAAAACCATCAGTGATGCTGGCAGCTGAAACTGAAAGGGCAGACATGGCGAAGGACTGTTTTCTTATTCGGTTTGTCAGAGCTCCTGCTAGAGGGAACGCCTGTATTGATCTATTGTTTTCAAACGATCAAAGACAGAGTAAGAAACACTGAGGTGAGCAAACCATTAAAGAACTGTGAGCACGTAATAATGAGAGAGAAGGGGACGGAATTGGTGGAGAATGGATTGCAACAGTTTAAAGATATTCTGCTTCAGGCACAGAACAGATTTATCCCAAGAGTAACCAAATCAATGGCTAGGAAACAGAACTCTAATGGTTTACCAAAGCAATTAGGAAAAATATAAGGAGAAAGACAGCACTTTATAAAATGATTAAAAAACAGTATCCATTTAAAGAAAAAACAAGTTTGAAGCACAGGTAAGTCTAATATTAGACAGACCAAGAGAGAAATAGAAATAAATATTGCAAAGAAGAATGATGAATGATGAATCCAGCATAATAATGGAAAACTTCTAGATAATAAAAGGGAATGGCTGATACAAAATGAGCACTATGGAGAGTCTATCAAGGAAGAAACAAACAATATACCTCGGGCTGTGGAAAGGCTAAGTTTTTTTTATTAAACAGTATTAGGTGGAGATGAGGCAGAAGTGTTTGGGGTACTAGAAACATTTACAGATGTGCAGCTCTCCAGGGCCTGATGGTTTCTACCTATACCTATAGGTGCTCATTCATAGGGAATTAACAAAACTCTTTCAATATTTGCTCAAGACAGGGGTAGTATACGTGGACTGGAAAATCACGTGGTCCCTGTCCATAACAAAGATGACAGCAATTATTTTTATGTGATTAATTATGATAAATTATTTTATAAAATTAATTATACACTAATACATCTTTCTTCAATTATTATGTAAGGTTATGGAAAGATTATGGACATTAGAAAATAATTTCAAAATAATTCTGACTGAACTAGCAAATCATGTTGCAATAGATATATCGGAGATCGTCAACACAGATTTCGAAAAGGGAGATCTTGTTTAACCGTAGTGTTACCAAGTGCTTTGAACAAGCAGCAGTAATAATGAGACCAGAGTATATGATATGGTATGTGTAGATTTTCATAAGCCTTTTGATAAAGTTCCCGATAAAAGATTAATTCCAAAATTGCAGGTAGTAGGCTTTCAGGGTACTACGTACCTTTGGATTTTGAACTGGGTAATGGATAGAAATGGAGTAATGTAAGAATGGGGTGAAGCTCAAAGTGAGGTGATTACTAGACTGCATTAGAGCTGCTGTTCATTTTAATTTATATCATTGATCTGGATTCTAGCATAGTTAGTAACCCCAATCACATTCTAGAATGCTATATAAAAATAGCAAGAACAGAACACGGTGGACATATTGTGGACAATATGGAAGACTGACTGAGCCAAGGCTGTGCAGATGACATTCAGTGTAAACAAATGTGCAGTGTTGCATGCAGGTAGAAGAAATGAAAACTGTAAGTATATGATGTGACACAGTGAGCTTGAGGAATTTCTGTTTGAAAAAGGCTTAACACAAAGGGTTTCACAAAGGATTTAAAAGAGTTTCGTAGAAGGTACCTCGGCATGGCATCATAGCTGATACCTGATACCTAGAGAGCTTGGCTTCTTTCAGGTGACGAGTGGATGAAATACTCGGCTCAAACAACAACCAAGTGAGCTCTTGTTTGTAACCTTCCTTATGATTCTACTAATGAATCTGATGGAAACTATTAGAAATGTATTTGTAAACAACAGACACCGTTTTTTAAATATAAGAGTGAGGGGATCTTGAATGCGCCATCCAACATGTTACTAAAGCTGAGATCCTGTCATCTATCAGGAAATGGGAGGATCAATTAGCTACGAGTACTATTTGCACAACTGGCTCCAAGGTCAAATAAGCTCCCCTTGTTTATAATGCTCCTTATAGTCTTACATCGCTTACCATACTTTGAAGTGCTTTTGTGCATATACTGTATATTAGACTGTAATAAACTGTTTTACAGGGAGCAGGGAAACTATTTTTACCTGTTGCAGTCTTAGCCTGATGTTACTTGACCTATATATTTATTTGTAAAACAATAGCAAACCTTTTTCCACAGCCAATAGACCACAGGTACCGACAGATGCAAAAGATTATTGAACTAGACAGAATTCTAGAAATACAGGCCTTTTGTATTGGTAAAACTAGAGAGAAAATGTCATATATTGAAAGGCAGTTTTATATATATATAATTTCTCTGTCATATAGTGTATACTGTACTGTAAACGCATTTAACTTGATCACTTTCACTAATATCTTCTGCTGTCAACAGAATCTTATGACCTGCACACGATTCCGCAATGTTACCCTAAGCAGTATCACCTGCTGTCTGAGACACCTGAGTAACAGTGACACCTAGGGGTTTTCTTGTGAACTGAGGTCTGCTTCAAGATTTCTTTCATGAATCGTGTTTGACTTTTTTTTTTGTTTTTGTTGTTGTTAAGAACATATCTTTGTGATTAACTATAGGAATGGCTCATTTAAAACTTATTTTAATATCCTTTTCCTTTAATTTTGGAATTACTTATCCCCATAACTCTGTTTTTTTGATCTGCTAGCACTGTTACTTTTTCAGGCTAACAAAGCAGACATTCTAAGGGTGCTCTAAGGATTCTCTGAAAGTCATTTGTTTTCTTTAATGTTTTGTTTTGCTCCCAAGAAGGGCAGCTCAGTTCAATGAGCAAATATTAGACCTACCTTTTTAAAGGAACAGTTCTGGGCACAGGGATGTTACTCCCTATCCACACAGCTTTCCTTTCGAGCCCCATTTCCACTCAGCGACTAAAGCCAAGAAAATGTCTGAACAACGCAGCACAGCATTTTAAACCATTCTTTGGGCTGGTAATTAGAGGATTTTCTAGAGCTTGGTATTGACTCTACGTGGCCACCTTGTTTAAAAAAATGCTTTGGGCAGAAAGACGTCTTTTGGAAATAATATTATCCTTAATAAATAAAACAAATTAGGAAAAACAAAGCCCCGCTCTGGCCCCTTCATGACAGGTGGCATGTGTGCGAACACTAGAGAACTCCTTCGGCTCACACTTGGACACTCAGACTTCACTCACTCCCAGCTGGGCTCACAGTGCTTGCCCTCTCAATTCCATGGCACAGGCCCACTCAACCAGGCCATCTGGACAGTTCTGTCCCTGCACTGCTGGTGCTTTGCCAGGGACTCCAAATAGAAGCGTAGAGACTCAGACTGCTATTTGTTTCTGTCAGAGCCCTGCTGTGTCAGTAGGCAGCACTGATTGATAGCTTTGACTCCCAGAGAAACTTTCAAAACTGTAACTAGGGTTTGAAGCTGTGCATACAGAAAGCCTACAGTACAGTATACCGGCAAAGCCTGCCGTTAGATCATTTGCCATGCACGTTAGGGTACTGCGGATGCACTGTCTGCCCACCTGCACTCTCGTACAAAGACAAATTGATTCAGGTATTCAAAATCCTGGTGTAGAAAAAAATCAGCCCACTTCCTGGACTTCTCCAGGATCAACAGCGAAACAAAAAAACAGAGGATGGAAGTGGAAACTAAAGAGAAGTTTTTTTTTTAAACGGAGAACAGGAGGCACTTTTTACACAGAGGGAGGAGGGAGTCAAGTGGGAGTCTGGGAACTAGGTACAAAGTCATGTTGTTGCAGCCGATGTCCTGGCTTCTTTAAAGAAGTGGCTGGATTAGATCCTTGAATCAACTAACTAATAGCAATTAAAAGAGCTAAACAGCCAGGATGAATAACCACCTTGTCTGTAACCAATCTTATGTTCTTGTGTCTGGAATGTCTGCTTAGACTATTTAATAAAGTCCTGCGCAACCGAGTGGATCTTCTTTAAATGTTCTGGCAGCATTTCTGCACACATTAAAATAAAGAGAAATGTTTAATTTCATTGCAGACTGACCAGACCTCATTTGGGAGTTCCGATGTCTGTGGAGGACGTCAGAGGCTCAGAGCTAAAACAAAAATATTGCTTTTATTATCTTCAGTTAGACAACGCAGACACCTTGGCCTTGCTTCCTAGGCTATGGTTTACAGCAGCTTTGTTATTAAAATCGCCAGGGGAAAGACCCCAGCAAAAAAATAAAACCATGACACCATCTGTAATGATTCCCCCTTTTTTAAATGATACTGGGCGTTTCCACTCGTTCCGAGAAAATCTTCTCCGCTTGCACCTTTCCTTTTTTTTTTAAAAGCAGACTTCCAGCTGGAATGGATCCAGGCCATTACCGAAGGAAAACAATTAGCTAAACCAGTGTGGCACAAATTTAGCAAGAGAACTCAAATTGCTAGAAACCGATCTGTTTCGGTATAGACACAAGTACATCTGACTGATGCAATAAAAGAGTTGAATGGCACCAGAATGCCAGCGCAGAGGGTCTGCAAAGCTTTGGCACATACAGTTTGTTTTTTACGGGTTTCTCATCGGCCGTCGGAGCCCGCTTGTGCTCTGTGAAGTATTAATCACCGGAGAAGCAGTTGCGGATGCTGAACAGCAAAGAGCTAAGATGAGACAACCTGTCTGTCCCAGGTGACACTGCTGGAGCGATAAAAACAAGAGTGATTGTTAGAGCAAGACCAGGCCTTTCAATCTGTCATGGTTCACAACCAAGCCAGGGGAATTCAAATTCAAATGCGGTGGACAAACTAACATACTTCCTCCTCCCTCATCCTCACCGACTGAACTGTCCCTTTTAAATACTGTTGTTTTGTCAATGGGAGGTGCACAGACTCACCTGTCTGCGTACTGAATGCAAAATAATCAAACTGTAGTAATTATTTGCACAACAACCATATTTGTGTTCTAAAATTACTGCTTTCCCTTTTCAGTGAAAAGAAGCTTGTTCTGTTTGTTATCTCCTTTTAAACTCTCTGGAATGTCATTTTTGTCATTGGTCATTTAAATCCCTTGTTGACATTAATAACCTGTGCTGTATTTAGTATTTGTATTTGTCCGCAGCATGGTTCTTCATGTGATTATGTATGAGAATAGTCTAATAGCCATGGTTACTTTCAAAGTACAGTCCTTGCTGATGAGTCTAAAATAAATGTTTATTCTCAGGTCATAACAATTTTTTTTTAATACAGCTTTTCTCACCCGCTCTGATGGTACTATAAAGAAAGGAGGCATAGACTAAGCAGCTGCTTCTGTCTGAACACCTAACCTATAATAAATAATGATCTAATGGCCGATATGTGAGTCGATGTTTCAGACTGAAACACAATAACAAAAACTCAATATTGGATTGTAAGGAGAACATCCACATGATCGCCAATTCATCAAAGAAAGTAACCGTTTTTATTATGTGGGACCTCAGAATGTATACAGAATGCTAAAAATTAACATGTGTATTTAAATAAATATTAATTGTATTTCTAATACTTCCCTGTATATACTGTAACTGACTTTTATACTAGAAAGCAAAAAATAAGACTTTGGATTATTGGAATGCTGTTAGTTTTATTGATGCCTGTATATCTTCACTTAACTGTGTACTGAATCTAGGGAGAAGTATATATAAGGTGTAGTAATATACAAGATGTAACCACTGTGCTGCAGGTACCTACAATAGCTGGAGGAAGGAGAATAATATCAGTCCTTTTGAGCTATGCCATGCAAATATATTGCTGCCAACATGAATGAAAGAAAAAGCAAAAAAAATGTTTTCATTATGAGAACCTCCTTGTTTTATTATCTCAATCCAAATTCACAATTTCATATAGAACATACAGTACTGTATATGAATATTTATTGTTCTAAAATTCCTTAGAACAATGCATGTGTAAATGAACCCTGAATATTCACAGTATTACTTTTTTTTTTTTGCTTTCCCAGAAGAAGAAAGAATGGAGATGCAGAAACTAAGTCAGGCAGTACAACTACAGAAACTCATGGCTGCGTACTCTAAGAACCCCAAAATCATAACCGAGTAATGTGAAGAAACTAGGCTGGGCTGGAATGGTAGTTCTTAGCTACAATTCCAGCCAGGTAGACGGTACTGTAGCCCTTTCGCTTGCTCTGTTTTAAAGACAGCTTCAGTGGGTAGCAGCTGTAGGCAGGAGAGCTAAGTGGAGGCAGCAGGCAGCATTTGTGCTGCAGGGGTCTGGGCTGCTTAGGAGACCATATGGTGGTTCTCTTTAACACTGGAACCCTGTGTTGTAAAGGGTCACCATTCACCATCTACACCAACGGCCAAAGAAAAAAACACCACAAACATCAGAAAACACCGTAGCGAACATACTGATTCTGATTCAAAATAGTGAAATGCCTGAAACACTTTTGGACTGCACAAAACAACAAGAGGGTTCAAGAATTTATACTGTAGCAACCAAAACAAAACAAAAAAAAACCCAGGAAATTCTATTCCACGGGTTAAAAAAGAGACCAAAGCTGGTGTATAACGATTTACGGAAGTTTTAATTTAAAAATAATTCTACATAACTTTAGGCAGGTAGCTGTAAAAACTGTAACCTCTATTATAACCGGTACCCGAGCTCATTTAGCTCCCGGGCTGCCGCTGCACTGTGCTTCCAAAGGATTTGAAGGCATTACAGTTCGGACACGAATACCGAGGGAAAATAGTTACTTTTATTAGCAAACTAACTGGTCCTGAGGATAGAGGAATCGGCTGAGGGCATCACTGTGAGCTATGCTTTCGGGCGTGCTGAACCACTTGCTCACAGTGTTAGAAGTACTTCTGTTTTCGCCGATAGACCGCATGAGGTCTGTAATTCGCGCACTTACGGCTTAAAAAAAATATGAGAAACTTGGATATACAGTAAGTAGACAATTATTTAGGAATACTAGAGATGGCAAACTTTTTGTCATTTTTCCTGTGGGAAGCGAAAACTTTGTTTAAAGACGTTTTGGCAAAAGTAGAACTTGCAAAAGACAAGAATAGTACTACCAAAGATGCACTGCAACACTGACACACTTGTCTTTTGAATACTCGCAAAGCAGAAACGGTAATAAAAGAGTTCATATTAAACCGACGTACCAATTACTACAAGGTCTCCCAGACTCTAAGATGAAAACGACCTTTTCCGATATTGGGTGGACACAGAACTGTATCGGCGGCTTGTGGAACAAAATAAAGTTTTGCAAAAACCCAAGTCAAATGCCAAATCCTTCAAGAATGCTTGTGCATATAAAGTTTAATGCGAGAGTATAAACAAAAAAAACGGCTACACAAGAAACGATACAATTACGGCAAAAAAATCCAAAAACAATTCACTTCGATAATAATAATAGTAATTAAATGCTCGTGATGGTCACTTGTTTTCTCTTAAGTCATTCTGGCTTCAGTATTCAACACCGAAATACAGAATCTTAATCTTACCACACACGAGGACAATATAATTCCACTTTGGACCAGCAAGGATTTGTCATTATTTTCACTATTGTCGGGGAAACTTAATTGTCTTTTTGTGAACACGTTACTTTAAGATGACATTTCACCATGATTCGTGCACGGTGCCTATCTCTCTGGGAGCTTGAGTAATGCTGTTTTGTAGTAGCTACTGTACAGTACTTTCACAGAAGGGGCCACCTTTCTGAACTGGAATGTGCCACATCAAACTGGCAGGTCTAAGACTTCAGACGCGAAACAAACCCTTAATCCCGATTCTAGCAATTGCAGCCTGCAAAAGGTAAACAAACAAACTCGACTTCCCATCAAGCGCGTCCATAAACGTTATTTTATTTCCTTGCCATTTTTATAATAAAACAAATGCTCACGAGGGAAATACGAGAATCTCTCTCAAACGCTCCTAACACCAGGCGAGAGAAACACGCGGGCGATATCAGTTTTTAATGCACGGTGCATGCGGCGCATTCAATCTCTGAAAGCCGGTTTTTAAATATGAACATTTAATTATCCAAATTACAGTTTGACAAGTAAGGTACTGACCTCGGCGGAGGCTACAATTAGCATACAGCTGGGAGGGAGAAAAAAAGCTCCTCGCAGGTCCGTTATCCCTCTGGCCGGCGCTGTTTCGGGAGTCTCCTCGCCCGCTGGAGTTTATTGTTCAGTGGTGCTGCCGTGTGCCAGCCTAGACGAAGAGGGAAGACCATCCAGCTTTCGAAAAGTAACCATGGTGTGCGGATAAAAATAGCGTAAACCAGGTCATATCTATACTTCTGCACGAATTCCACCCTGCAAAGATGTGGTTGCCCGTGACTGCTTCTCCTCTTGGAGCGCCTCAAGAACTACACGGTGATGAGAAAGTATGACGCGTAGCCAGGAGGTACAGTAACACCGCTGTTTCAATCCTGCATCTCGGGTCCGTGCAGTACTTTACTTCCCGGGAAGTCTCCAGGGCAAGCGATGCGGATGCCTCCAGGCAACCGCTAACAAAACCGTCCCCGAAGGCTTCAGTAATCACCCGGAAAGCAGACCTGCGAAACTGAAGGCTGAGCTCTTCGCCTTTTTTTGTTCCTGTTGTTGTTGTAACGGGAGACGGTCTCTCCCCTTCTCTAAGAAATAAAAATGCAGTCAAACTACTGTGTGTGCTCTCAACGCGGCTTCACCGACGGCACGCGTGCGCCCATCGCAGAATAAATTCGATTTCGGAAAAGCGGTGCTCCCGGTTGTCCAGAAGCAGATTTAATGCCCGTTGGATGCCAGGGCATTCTGATAGCGTTCTGGTTATCAAAGGAAGGGCTAAGCGCTGCTCTGAGGCTGAGAAACCGGTGTGGTCCTTTGCTCATTAATGCAAATCTTCGGATGAACTGAAACGCATCCCAAGAGGAGAACAGAAGCAGGTGTACGGTCGCTCAAATCAGAATGAATGTTTTACTTCATGTGATCAAGTCTGGGATCGGACTTAGGAAAATAACCACAAGCTTTGCTGGCAGAACCCCCTGTTTTCACGAAGCGCACTCCGATAAGGCACTTTTAATAAACAGGCGTTTCACCCCCGAAGAAGAAAAGGAATTAAAACGGAGTCATATGATCAGTTTCAAACGTTTCGGCTCTCTCAGCTATGAAAATTTGTCAATGTGATTATGTGCCGCTATTTCATTTCTACCCTCAATAATTACAGTACATTTGAAATGAGATGCTAATATTTAATTACAACAGGCAATTAGATTTTTGTGCGAGTCTCCTGCTGTTACGTTATGTAATGAGATAAGGTTGGCTAAGTGGAACCGCTTTTATCTAAAACAAATGGAAGCGGGCTCATGCTCTATATAAAATAAAATTTTAATGATAGCGTTAACGTAAAAGGTATGAAGTGCGACTGTATGTGCTGAATGGGAGTTTTCCAGAGAGTTTAATTAATGTTCAATAGAAATGAAAGCACTTTGAGAATATCTATTTAATTCGAATTATTGCATTAGCTAATGTATTGAGAAGTTTTGGTACAGTGCATTTAGATTAATTGTGGTATATAATATTATATTGAAGTACCCGTTTTTACATTTCTTGAAATCCAAATAGATTTTACCTTTAAACAGCTTACACTTATGTTAGCCTGTCATTCAGCGCATATCGTTTCCTCAGCTGGAATTCTGTATTTATTTGGCAAATAGCACAGAGGTGAAATTCGTAAATCGGTGCGCAAATCCCTAGAATTGAAGATTCCCACTCTTCCATAATGTATTACAATTATTCGCAGTATGTAATTAGGAATGTGTGGGTGTGAAGGTGTACCAGTGGAATAAGGAAGGTCGAAAACGAATGGTCAAAAAGGGAACAATAAACAGACAAGCTAAATTTAGTGCCGGGTCATTAAATCTAATGAGTTTATTCATGAGGTGGTAGGGATTGCCTATAAAAAAATACAGATATTCATCATATCACTGATTAAAGTGCTGAAAAAATACAGACTGGGACGTGAGCAGGGAAAAGAAACTTGTGTGTTTCCAGCTTGAGTTTCAAAATCAGTATTCTGGCACTTGATGGAGGATGGATTGGAAGACCTGCAAGAGAGGACATTGTGTTTTGCACCCTGATCTATTTTTGTATCGGACAGTTTGTGATGTATTTATGATTGCACTACCTCAAAGTATCTCTGTCACATACCCAGAGCAGCATGGCCCCAGCCTGAGGGAGTGATGCTCAAAGTGACATTTATCGGCACCCCAGGCAATGGGAATGATGTTCTGAGTGTCCAGTATGTGGTTAATTTAATAACTCTTTTGGAACCTCATCGGGCATTGATCTAATTATTAAACAATGAAAACTCTCAAGGGGTTTGATTTTGCTTTTTAACTTTGGCTGTGTTTTGTCTCGGCATTAGTTAACTCAGGGTATTATTGATTATGTTATGTTAAGTGATAGGCATATCTGTACCGTGTGTCGAGTTCCTTGTACAGAATACAGAGGAGAAGTTCCCGTACAAAAATGTTTGGCCACATAAGAAAAGTGAAGGTGAAACTACATCGCTCTTCATCACAGGGAATGATGAAGATTAATCACATCAAGTCACTGCCAAATAATAATAATTAAATCTGTGCTGAAAAACATGTTGTGTGATGTCCAAATTATGGAGGTGCCACACAAGAAAACCTCACTGAGCAAAACCAGAGAGAAAAATCCATTTTGAGCTGACATGAATTGTTGAGCAATGGTTTTAGTACAGATCTTGTTAGTACAGAGCAGATCTTGTGATCAAAGTAACAGCCATTGGTGGCTCACTTTTAGAGAGGTTGACTGCAGCTAGAGCTCTTGTTTGCCTGACTTAATGAAGATGAGGAGGCTTAAATCTTGAAACAGTGAAAAAATAGCAGAGGTGATTACGTTTGTGCTTTAAAAAACACTTTAATTGTGAAATAAGACAAAGGATGAAATTACAGCAGATAATGTACCTCAAACCTTTACTCAACACGTTTTCTAATTACCCTGCTAATGCTAAAGTAAACCAAACCTACGCTTGTCAATTAACAGCCCGTGACTCTGCACTTCCTTTGCTGCTAGAGAATATAAAGAAAGTCTTCTGATGCTACCAGACAACCCTGTTCCCAAATCTTCACAAATAGAAACGTCAAATGTATTTTCAGCTGTTTAAATAACACTTAAAAACAATTCCTCTGAGCTTCAATCTTCACATCATGCGCCTACAGTATATTCTTAAAAAGTGTGTTCATCTTATGCCCTGATGATAAAATAACCCCTGCACAACAGTGAACCCCATTTCCCTGCCAGTGCCTTGAGTCAGAAGAAAGAGCGCCACCTGCTGACGAACCAACTACTGATTTCTCAAAAAGCCACGGATAAATGCATACAATGTAGCATATTACTGTACTGATCAAATTTGTCCAAGTTTGATTACATTACACTAAATGGGTTTGAATACAGAATAAATGCTTTCAAAGCAGTAATCTATCAGTTTTCAAGCTTTCTTTGTGCTTAATTAATGCTATGAGTGATCCAATAGCCAAATATTTCAGCTGTTATTTGCTTTTTATCTAATCCTTTCTCAGTTGTTGCCATCCCACGGTGAAAAGTGCCACTGTTTGGTTTGAAAGGGTGTTTTATTTTATTTTATTCGTCATTTCACGAGAGGAGATTGGAATGATTGCCACACACCCTTAAAATAAATCTTGTCCCAGACAGATTTGTTCAGCATAAAGTCATCCCTATTCATAGGTATACATCCCCAGGAAAATGACTAGAAATGAAATACTGCGTTTCTCTGGTTTAACAAACCCAGTCAGCAACATCCTGCGTCGACATCCGTCTTTGTTTCTGTTGTTGTTTTTTTTAGAAATCAATATAGGCTTCAGTACAGAAAAACACAATCATTTCAACATTAAACAGGAAAAAATGCAACTCTCAGTAAGAAGCTGGGAAGTTGAGAACAGTAGAGTCAGCACATAGGAGACATTCTTGGAAATTCTGTTTTTATGATACACAGCAGAAAACAGTTGCTGTTAATTTCAATGGCAGTATTAATGCCAAGGAAGCAGCAATAGCTTACTATAGACTAACATATCAACTAGCATCTCATTCTTGCTAAATATATCAGAACAGTAGATTTGCACAGCCTCTTGTATTGTTCATCTCTATGTGTTGTTTCTCATGACACCACCATGCTAAAGGAGATTTCTCTCTTTGTCTCTTATGTTCACAAGGGATGAAAAGTGTAGTGGGCAGAGAAGCTAGTTTACGCCCCTGGCTGGGCTGGCTCGCTGAATATCAGGGTGGAAATCCGAAACCTAATCACTTTCTGTTTCAGAAGGGCATGAAATATTTAATGATCCAGCTGCGTCACACTCGCACCGTCTGCCTAAAGAGGTTCCCCGGGTTGTACATGTGGCATAGGAGGTCACAGTATCCTGCCAGGGCAGCGAACAAGAGACTGCCCTGCACAGGCTCAAACTACCCTTTCCGTCATGTGCTCTCTGCATGATTATCCTAAGAATGCTTTTGTTTCTGGAGTGACGCTGTATTGGAAGGTGTGCATACAGTAGATACGCCTCTTTTTTAAAATCTTGACTTAATTTTGCGTTTTTCTGTTTTTATGAACCGGGAGTTATTTATTCACTGACTGAAGGCAAGGGGCCCACAGGACGATGTTTGATTTAAGTCCAGGTGCTGCACAGGGCATTCAGCTGGGACAGTGATGTCTTGTCTGTCTGGAGCAAACAGGACATGGAGGGGAATCTGTACACTGCTCCTCACCCTCGTGCTGTCATTACACTCAGGCAGAGAGCTTCTCTCTTTGCAACTTGAAAAGAGACAGCCCTGCTCTCAGCAGAGGAGCAGTGTTGAGGAGGAATGAATAGTAATGAGCTAGTCCCAAGCATAGTGACAAAGATGGGAGATGAACACTCAAAATAAAAAGATTGATGCATATTTATTTTAATTGCTAAATTAATTAATTTAATTGCTAAATGAGACCTCAATAAATGCTAAAGTGAAGGGGAAAAAGCGTTGCATTTATTTTTGTATTTTAAGAGGACAGATTTTAAGAGAACTTAAGGGGTTAAAATTTTCTGACCACCAGGGCTTGCAGTCTTCATAATGGAATAGGGAAATATCACTGAAAACTGCTGGACCACATAATTCTTCTGCTTTGAGCGAACTCTGAAAGGCAAAATAAATATATATCTAGAAAACCTCTATCTTTGCAGAGCCCTTATATCAGTTTCTTGATCCACAGTGTGGTTTACGTCATAAATCCCCTCTGCTTGATCCAGTGGACCATTTCATCAGATGCCCATTGCTGCAGAAGGCTTATGACATTGAAAATGCCTGCCAGTCTCACACCTCCCAAACTGTTTCAGACTGGATGGGTTGCTGTCATCACTGGAGTTTTATCAGTTTCCTCCTTACCCCTGATCAATACTGTAATTGTGGAGATGGATTCATGAATGACAGTGAGAGCATTATTTTTCAAACATGTTACAAAATCCCTGAAGCTCAAGAATTCAATTGCTATTTATTGCTGTTTAAAGTATATTTTGACCTAATTGGACATAATATTCCTTTATAAGAACACACACAAAAATAATACAAAAATAAAAATCAGATACAGAAACAGATCAGTTACCAAATGTACTGTATTTGCCAAGACATGTCAAGCATGTGTCAGAAATCTATTTCACTCTGTTCTGTGTTAACAGGAGTACTGCTACAAAAATCCATTTTGCTAATTTTCTGATGAAATTAGCATTTAAAACTTATCCCCCAGAGTTAGCCAATTTCAGAAGGCTTGAGTATTATCAAGGATTATGGTTCGCCCTTGAACTCAACATCTTAGTGTCGCCAATATATTTATTGATGAGATCTGGATGTTTTTTTTAATGAATGAATGAATCCTAATTATTAAGCTAGAAATTTAACTCATAGGTTACTAAGCCTGAAGTCTCATGCAGACTAGGTAGAAATTAACATTGGCTCTTATACGAGAAACAAATTACTTATGGAAACTGATGAATGGAGTACAAAGATCGGTGCACTCTCTTCCACAGTGGATCAAGCCTCCAGAAACCCATTAACAGTTTAAAACTCAACAATGACTGACTCCTGCATAAGATTCAGATGAACCATTCTGTTGGTTCAATATATTGACAAAGTCCATCTTGAAAAAGATGTTCCTCATATGAGGAGCAGGTCATCCATCTACAGTAGATTGATTCAAATAAAACCTAAATTCATCACCTAATTCATTTTTGCTATTTAATTCTACTTTTCAAAGTCACCAGAAATAGTGTTGTACAGAGTTTTTAATGACATGTACAGACTGGGATTTTTTCTTAATTTCAAATGGGAAAAGATCAATTTCAAATCAAAGCACGTGTTTATCTTAAAAAATGCAATTTGAAACAACAAAACACCAGAAGCAGACCGATGTCTCATGAATTTTTTTAAAGCCTTTTAATGAAGCAGAAAGTACCACCGTATACTAATTTTACACACTACAAGCCTTGGGGCAAAATATCCAAGAACTTCCTTGTTCCCTGGAAAAGTAATACCATTCTACATGACCATCAAAACGTTTGACATGCATTCTGTAAAATGTCATGTAATTACTTAAATCATCTTCCTCCCATTGCTATAAAATATTAAAACCTGCTTCTCCCAATGTGGCACTAATTATTCTAAATTGCTCAGAGCATTAAATAGGCTGATGCATATATATATATATTTTTGGCACCTACTGTTTTCCAGATCTACAAAGGAATTTGTTTATTACCCATCTAAATAATGCAGTGCAAAATGTGTAAAATCTTTTCATAAAGCTTTTCATGTGCTTGATTTCTGGATTTTCATTAACTGTGGTAGCCTTGCTTGCACACATGGATCCTTAAGTGCATTGGACTGAGTTGTAAAAAATAACACGAGATCCAAGATCATTATAAAACTCAATTTAGAAGTGATTCTGGGAACATGGAACGACACTTGGCATGTGAAGATTGAACAGCATCTAACTTTCACGTGCAATTGGCCTCTCTGCGAGTTACTGTAAGAGCGAGTGAAACATCTCCTGAGCGGCTCAACAGGTAAAGGTGCCAATTAGGCTCTACAGGCCAAAGATGGCACAAACCTTTGTTCATCCCAGATCTGATCTAGTGCCTCATGCAGGCTGCTGTCACAGTAATTCTTTTGTCTTGCGTGGTGCCTGGGTACAAACAGAGGGGCACTGGTACAGTAAATCCATCTATCCACTTCATCCAATTTGGGGTCGGGGGGGAGCCGGAGCCTATCCCAGCAAGCAATTGGCACAAGGCAGGGTTCACCCTGGATGTGGTTCTAGTCAATTTCAGGGCACACACAAACACGGACACGCACAAACTCACACTTTGTTCCTGTTTTCCCAGAAGCCAATTAACTTTCCAGTATGTGTTAGGACTGGGGCGAGGAAACCAGAGCTCTTGGAGGAAACCCACGCAAACCTAGGTAGGGAGAACATGCAGACTCCACACAGCCAGCATCCCAAGACCAGAATTGAACCCAGGGCCCCAGCGCTGCGAGGCAGAAGTGCTGATGCTAATGTACCCCACTGGTACATTACCAACACTAATCTAAAGGAAGTGAATCCAGCTTGTATATCAACAATGTACAAGTCCCGAGGAACCTGGGGGCTCAGGAGAACAGTGAAGAATCGAGGGAACCTGACACACCTGGAAGGCGCCTGCCTCGGTTAGTCTGGCTGCTCTGACCAACTAACAGGAAAGAGTAGAGTGACAAAGAGCGAGATGCAGAAAGGAAAAACCGTTTGGAAGATGGATAATTCTGTTGGTGAAACTCAAAATGGGGATTTGGAACTAGCCGAGGAAAATGATTCTGGTTAAAATGAAAAAAAAAGTCAAAACTGTCAAACAAACAAGGATGCAGAAAAGTTGTTTTTAAATACTGCTGTATCACTAGCAACATTATTGTATTGTCTAGTGTTAGAAATAGTAATAATGACACAGTACAGTAATATTAAGTTTAATGTTGGACAGGGCTAATATTGCTTTTCCTGACCTCTTTGTTGGTGATGGTTGTATTACTGTGTAGGAGTTCCTTTAGGGGACAATGAAGTTGAACTACTAAGGATGCTTGCAAACACACCCTGCCCCACTGTGTGTCACGAGCATCATCAGTGAGATCCTCCACTATATTGCATCTGATGTTCTATCTCCTTACCTGGCACCATGGGCTCACAATGTACAGAATACTGTGTAAGAAGAGAAAAGTCAAGTGCTCCTGAGGGCACAGGTGCAGTCTTCTCTGATCCCATGTGGTGCGAGGACTGTAGCAGTGAGAGGCTTAGAAAATAACTGGCTAGTCTAAACCTAAAAGGTC